CGAGTCTGGACACCAGAGGTAATGGATCCTTGAGAGTGTAAAACCTATGTTTAGAAACAATCTGTGCCAGAGCAGGGAAGTGCAAAACTGAGAAAATAAAGTTGTAGTCTTGGCAGTTTTATTTCTTTCATTTATTTCTCTATTTATATGTGTGTTTTAGTATTTTGGGCAAGCTCCTCTCTTGGTTAAGCAGGAGGCTCCAGGAACCAACTGTGCGATGCCTTTCTGTCGCTAATACTGGGATATACACACAAACACACACACACACACGACCAAGACAGATGGCTCAGTGACGTAAAGTTTCCTCGTTCTGAGTCAATTTGAGCCCCTGAGTAAATCCTACCGGCAGATTCCCTTCATTCTATATACACACAATTCCTCTTTGACGATACTTAAGGGACCAAAAAAAGATCACAAAATCCCCTCTGAAACCTCGACAAGCTTTCTCCTGAATTAAGTGTCACTTCACTCCTGCCCGCTGTGACGCAACTTGTAAAACTCACTGCTCTCTTCCCCCATGTTTGTCGTGAGCCAGGCTCCCCGAAGAGGAGACATTTCCAGCGTCAACGAGCCGCCAGTGAGAGCATGGACCAGGAGGACAACGACGCGCACCACATAGACCTCATCCAGTACATCGCCCGCACCCAGGACCTCCCCTACTGTCCCAGCAGCCACCCCACCACACGCCTCCTCTCACCTCCTTCCACACCACCTCCCTCCCTCGGCAGGTATCTTTAATTCCCTTGCCATTCATCCTGTTCACTGCTTTGCTGCCTTGCACTCATTTCTTTACCCTAGCTAGAAAAATGTATTATGATAACGATATTACACAGTTAGATAGAGCTCTAAGTCCCAATTCTTCAACACTTTTCCCGTACATAAAAAGGTCCCCTTTATAATCTTGATAAAACACCATTGCAAAATAAATCAAAGTGGTTGTTTTGACAAGCCAGTTGATGTGCAAATGTAAACTATCAGTATCCAAACGATTGAAGGTTAGGTTATTTTTCTATTTTAAATTTAGGAAATCATGTTTTTAGACAAATTGTATTGTTATCACATGAATCTACATTCAAACACAACATGCTGTGTAATTGTAATCCAACACAGGCTTATCTGTGTGTAATGAGATCCCTGTAAACAAGAACCACTTTGGAACCAGATTTAGGGGATTCCCAGAGTGCATTTCTTTTAGAGATTGAAGTGGAGAATCGGGACGCAGAGTTTATTTTGGCATAGGAAATCATTCCACCGCTGACATGATCCGATAATGTCATGATGTCGAAAGACCGCGAAGGTCACTGCAATTCAGTTATTTTAAGAGCGCAATTCAAGCAATGGAGTTTAGCTCAATATAGGGTTATGCAGCGGAAATAACCAGTTTACTAAAGTACTTTCTTATATAATGTTTATTTCCCTTTACGAAATGTTATTTTAAACAAAAGCAGCATTTCCTGTGTTTTTTTTGCAGACGATTGTTGTTGATTGTATTGCTCCTGATATAACTTGTGTTCTTTAAATCTGCTGACTATAATGAAAGCAAGGGATTTCTAGGAAAGTATGGTCATGCATGGCATCAGTATTCAGTTCAAGGACATGCAACAGCAGCCATTGCAAGTCATGAAAACCATTGTGTGCACTGTGAACACAGCCATGTGTCAGCTGATTGTGATATTCAGGCAAATGCTCCGACACTGACAGTTGTTTTTGCGAATGTGTGTGTTTCTCCCCTTCCTTCTCTCCTTACTATCTTCATTTTATCTCTCCACACCTGTGTGCACACTACAGGGTAGAGGTGGAGGTGATGGTGGAGGCCAGCTGCAGCCATGGCGGACCAGGGGTGATTGGCCTATCCCCTGATCCCCAGGATGAAGCACTGTCCCTATCAAGAAGGGAAGGTGCAGACCCTCTGGACCCGCCAGATCCCCAGGATGAAGCACTGTCCCAATCAAGAAGGGAAGGTGCAGATCCTCTGGACCCGCCAGATCCCCAGGAACCCCAGTCCCTTTACAAAGACATCTGGAGCCTTCGTGCAACACTGGAAAAATACGCCGCCTCCGACCACAGCAGCAACAACGACAGGAACTCCGTCTGCAGCGATGTGGAGAGTGTGTGTTCTCTGGGGGGGCGCACAGAGAAAGGAGGGCTCCCCAGCTACCCGTCCCAGGAGTTAGGGGATGAGGCAGAGGGTGCAGAGGACATTTCAATGTTTATTGATGAGAGGTTGGAGGTGAAAGAGGGAAGAAAGAGGAAACAGGGAAGCACAGACTCAGAGCGAGGGAGCAGCGATGGAGAAACATCGACTCGTAAACTGCTGCAGATGGACAGCGGCTACACGTCGATAGAGGCTCCGTGTCGCGGTCCAGAAGACTTGCGACTGTTTGGGAGCGCCAGCAGCAGCCCGAAGGACAGAACAGCCCACGAGAAAAGGCACCACTTTACCAGCGCAGGGCGAAGTGGCACTATCGGTGAGAGCTTTGAGTCTCACCTCTTTGAGGAGGAACCGGAGGATGAGAGCTTGTTGGGTGCCAGTGGAGGAGTTTCCATAGAAACAGGTGCTAGTTCACTTAGCTGGTTACCGTACGGTCAGATTCTCACACCTCGAGAGGCTGCAACGCCTTCGCCTCAACCGCTAATGCTGATGCGGCGAGACTACAGCATAGATGAGAAGACTGACGCCCTCTTCCACGAGTTCCTCCGTCACGACCCTCAGTTTGACCAGCAGGAGTCGCCGCAGAGGAAGCACCGCTCACGGATTCACCTCCGCAAGCAGTGGCAGCGGCACAAGCAGTGGAGCGACCCGGGAGTTAGGTACTTCCAGAGCTCTTTTGAAAGACAGAGAACCCCGCTACGGAGGGGGGACAGTGTGAACTACCCTCTGGACACGAGCTACCACAGCACACTCCCCCGCATCGTCAGCGCTCCTGACGAGGAGGCCAGCGACAGGACGGGCAGCACACCCGACAGGAAAAACAGGGAGCAGGGTGTCACCGAAATCACATCCTCTTCTCCACCACCTTGTGATCTCTCCCTCTCAGAGCAAGATGGAGGGCAGGTTGAGCATCACGACCCTCGGGAAGACAGCAAACAGTCCGGACTCCCTCCTGATCCCCCGGACGAGCTCTGGCTCCTTCAGGCGCCCGACTCCCCAGGCCACGGCCCGCAGACCATCACAGCAGAGCTCACGGACAAACTGACTGCTAACCTGGGCGAGAGGCTGTACATGGGCCTGCGCAGGGCCAGGGACACAGCCGCTGAGTGTGTGGCGGTGACGGCCACACACACTTCTCCGGACCACAGCCCAGTGTAGCAGGGCTCCAGCCGCCCTCCTCGTCACTCCTGCTGAAACAGCTTTTTCTTTCTGTTTGATTTGTCCCGACTCAGTTTACATGTCATAGTCAGCTTGAATGGTGTGATCAAGACCCATAAACACACAATGGAAATGTCTGTCTGTCTTCATATCTGCTGTCATTTAATGTTCAATGTTGCCATTTAGCTAAGCTAACTTATCAAAAAAAATCTATTAGTAATAGTTGTGTTCGTTGATTGTTTCTGTCTCTACTGCTGCCTTCTTGTCTCTGCTCTCCAGTATTAATAAGTGAAGCTGAGGGACAACATGGCCTCTGTACTTGTTGATCCACTGTGAAACCAGGTGCTATTAGATTAGTAGAAACCTAGAGATCTGGACGCAACAGCTGGTCCCATGATCATGCATTGGTGAAAAATAAGTATGTTTATCACTATTTGTGAGCTAAAAATGATTCCATTGATGATTAATCAAGTCTTGTGAGACACACTGGTTGCTCACACTAGCTGTTTAGATCAGTAGTTCCTAACCAGTGGCGGTCTTAACTTTTAAGAAAAGTCTGAGATCATTTCAGTTATTTATATTTCTTTTTTACACTGAATTATATTTATTTTTATATTGTTTGGTTTTGTCCTAGGCAATGAGCAGTTAAGGCCATTTTAAGTCAGTCTGGAAGCCATGATAGCAATTTCTAGGCACACTAAACATTGATTTATTAAATATATTTAGTTGTTATTTCCATAAGTTGGCTTACAGCAACCTGTCCAGCTTTGTCAAACTCTTCCATGCTTGTGGCCATGTTTTTTTTTTAAAGTAGCTAGTTATCTAGCATTGTTGGAAGATGACATCCCCATTCTTTATCCCGCCTACAAAGCTCTGATTGGTTGATGGTTATCCCCATTGTTTGAAAAGGTTGTTAAGTGAATTTTGATTCAAAACTAGACTTTGCTTGATTTAAGGGGTAGCTGAAAAGGTTGGGAACCATTGGTTTAGATATATACACATAATACAGTTAGAAAATGCCAGGAAAGTTAACAAAGTGTCACTTTTGTCTTCATTAAGTGTCTGACTTGTCATGATGTTGGTTGTTTTTGACTGAAAATGCATCTAAGCTATGTGAAAACTGTTGAATAAGTTGTAATATATATTTTGGTACATGCATTGCTGAAATGACAATGTAAACTGATTGGCAGGTCTGAAGAGGACAGGTTAGGACTTAACAAACCAGACAGCCACTTGCACTTGGCTATGATCTTCATCAGTCACAGAGATGACATTAATCTCCATGAACTATGACTCTTAGTGCTTTAGGCATCACTGACACGAGGCGAGCAGTTACATTACAGCTTTTAGACAAGATGGCTGCCCTCACAGACATTTGGTGTCAATTTGTAAGAAAGGCATGCTTTCTTGTGCATGGGGCTCACAGAACAGTCTTCATTTATCCGCATCTGACATTCTTGTTTTCTCCTCCTCTCCCTCTTCTCCTGAGAAAGTTGACAGTGAAGTAGATGCCTCCCTCGGGGGCCGAGGACTTCACTTCCTGCCAGCTTATAAAACCAGGCTGAACAAAGATGTTGTTTGTTGTTAGGTCCACTTGGTTTGTTTTCTTTCTCTTTTTTGGCTTCCTCTGTTAAATTTAAAACAAACCACTACTGCCACTCAAATGAAACCCCAATAACAGATTATGTTCTGTGGGCAAAGAATGATGTTGAAAACACACTTTTGCTCACAGATCTTAGTTTCTACATCCTCAGCAGTAGCAGCAGGTTGATTCTCGCTCATAAAACCTCGATCTCAGAGGGGGCTGTTGGGCTTTCCGTTTCTCCCACGTGCGGGGAGGGGAGCCACTGCTGAAGATGGTGTTGAATACTAATCAAAACGAGAAGGATTTCCACCTTTCATCCCCCTGCCTCCCCTTCCTCGTTGTTTGAGGCTATTACCATGCAGTAAATTGAAATCACTGCATAGAAAATCAGGGGAGAAAAACATTATCCGCCTCTCTTTGTCTGGGTGTGATGATGCTCCTTCCCAGCCTGCATAGATTAGATCTCTCCTGGCAGCGTGACAGGAGTCTCCTCTTGTGGCTAAGTGCAGATGCTGCGTTCCTCATTAGGAGGGTAGTGACTGAGATGAAAGAAGGTGAACTCAAATAAGGAGTAGAAAGTGATTTGTCTTTGGATCGCTCTGTTTCCTTCACGCAGGCTCCCCTCCGACACACATTATTTCACCATGAAGAAACAATGTGCTCAGGCACAATTTTGTGCAATCAAAAATGGTTATGCCAGCGCTAATCAGCAAAAAGGAAATTAAATCCCCCCCTCTGATATAATGGAGCTGATGCCTCCCTGATGATACAAGTTACTCAGCAGAGAAAGTGGAATACAGCTTAATTTCCCACAGATCTAAAACTAGAATGTCTTCGAGCTGAATCAAACACAACAGTCTAAAGGAATTTGCCATACGGGGTGATTTTCCGTACATGTGTACAAAGATTGCTGTGTGTACAAGCACAATGTCACAGGAGCTAAATGGATGTCCTTTATTAGGTTTAGACAGATGCTGTGTACCTGGAGACACTGTGGTAAATGGTGTTTGTAAACTAACCAGTAGCCTGTCAATGCATCGACGCTGTGTGTAGGTCTGCATGAGAGTTAACATTTTAGTATACAAATCCTTATGTTTTCTTAGACTTACGGTACAAGATTTACCTTGAGTTACTGATCCTTTGGTAAAAGGCAGAAGCCGAAACATTGGTATGACCTAGAGATTTTGTACTTTTGAGAGTCATGCTAGAATGCTGTAACTGATGAGATTTTGTGAGATTTATCTCTTGAAAATAGAAGTATTTCTGTATTCCTTGCTTGTTAGTAAATCGCTTAATTTCTCAAAGAAAACAAAAGATGAGCTTTCTTAACAACTTTGCTTTTGTTGATCCAAATGTATTGAGCCTTGAGGGACCAAATGATATTAAAAAAAAAGGTGTTATTTTAGGATTGTTTTCCAATCTGTGAATAAATGAATGAAGCAAAAGTGTTTCTAACTTGCTTTATTCCAAGGGAATGGTTGTTAATCATGGTGTGGGAACTGATCCCAGATAAGGTTCCCCGCTCAAGAATCTCATTTCATTTTTCTCTGTTGCTTATAGGCTCCTATTGATTTCGTGCCTCTCCTCAGCCCCGACAAATTAATTGAAAAGAAAAGCCAAATCTAACCTGCGATCTACAAAGGGAACGTCTCAAATGTCTGATCTCTAAAAAGAACAACCTTATAATCTGTCTCACTGAACTGTGCCTTGAGCTGCAGGGCCATTATTTTATAATACAGAAGAAATACTGCCATGCTATCGCACTGGCGATAAATAAAAGTAAGGAGGAGCAAAGTGAAGTGTTGGTGAATAAGGAGGTGATAACTGCTGCTTCCAATGCAGTCACAAATACAAAATACACACTTTTAAAATATGTCAGAGCTACATGTAAGTGAATTATAATCATGTTCCTGTGAATAAAATACTAGCTACAATCACCAATCATAATATATTCTAAAATCAACATAGAATAGAAAACGAGGCAATAAGAAAAAGGCTTGACTATTAAAAACATTTGGTAGACAGAGCTGAAGTCTGTTTTTTTCTCTGCCCTAAACTACATCATTAAATGTAATTTCTCAACATGGAAAAAAACATTTTTTTCATAAGAGCAAATGTATTTTCCTCACTGAAATCACTGTCAGTCTACTGATTCAATGCCCTCATCATACTGACAGACTGCAGGGTGGACTACACTCATTCCGTGGAGGGTGGGGGAACTCCTTTTCCTCTGGGTGTGTTTCAATGTTTTGCATCATGGTGTGCATTACCCCTATTCCTTTTATTGTCTGTCAGCCAATCGCAGGGCAAAACACCTCAACACTCAGCCAATGGGGAGTGAGTAGAGGGGGCTCCTTCAGAATTGCCGGTACGTCATCATCTGTGCAGTGTGGAAAAAAACATCCTTTCAGGCTATCCCCCCCCCTGCGGTGTGAACTGTACTTGATGGGAACTTGAAAGGAACAGGGGTCCAACAAAAAAAATGTGGCTCCAACATGCCTCATGCACAGATTCAGCTAAAATCTCTTTAACATTTGAAATAAATAACTATAAATCCATTCTGGGAATATGCATTAAGATAATGTGACAAAATACACATATTGTTGTTTATTCGTTTTCTTTCTGTTGTGATTGGCCTTTATCAAACAACATTTAGACAGTAGCATGTTACAGGCCTACGCTTTACAAAGGAGACGGGTCCATGAGCTAGTCGAGGGTCCATGGTGAGTTTGTTCACTTCTTTGTAATAAAAGCAGGATAGAGACAGACAGACAAAGACAGAACTGCAGCTAAAAAGTCGGAAAATGTACAGTTTTGGGTGATATGATAAAAATCATGTGACAGTCATGCTAGAAGTTTTGTTTGAGCAGAGAAAAGATTGTTGTTATTTAACTTTGTGACAGTCATAAAGGTTACAACTCCAAAAAGTGAGTGCCTGTGTGGAAGGCCAGTTTGTGTTAAAACATATTTATTATGAGGGACTGATGCTAAATGACATGTTGTTATGGGTTACAGAAGCAAGGGAAAGACTATCAGATAGAATCAATGGCCCGGTCCCAAAAACCTGTTAAACACTCAGGGACTTAATTAAAGTCACCTGGTAAGTGAAGAGAGGCTGATATAAATAGGAATAAGACAGCACTTTGCAACAAACCAGGTTACCTTGACAACATCTGAACACGTTAATCACCAGAGTAGGATTGGGACTTTTCATTTGATGTGTTTTCTTTCTTCAAGCACTTTAAGCATCGACTGCTTACCTCTGCTTTACAATGTGACGAAGACATAATTGTCCATTTATTTGTATTTATTAATATTAGTACTGCTTTTGGGCTTCACCTAATAATCCCACAACATCACAACGCTATGAACTCTGTGGGGCAGTTCACTCAGGCAAAATCTGCAGAAACGTACTCTTACTGAAAGTGTGTATAAAATGTATCCAACGGCCGATTTGAAAGCCCTTGCAGACTTTACGGTTGAGTTTTGTAATTGGGATAAGGCCAGAGGTTGTTCTGTGTGTGTGTGTGGACTGGTGTTTTGACTGCAGAGGATCCTTCCCTTCCACTTCTTAGTCTAGCTGCTTTGTAAACGCATGGCTGGTTTTCCGTGTTAGCATGAAAACTGATGTTGATTTTTTGCCACTGGGAGACTGTTGCAGAAAAATACAAGCTGCAAAACACAAAACTCCATGAATACAGATGTTACTGAAATGCTTCAGCTGTCATGTTTTTTTTACATTATTACTGCACATATTTTATTCCATTCTATCACATTTTAAATACTGCCATATTTTATTCTACTATATTTCTTATTATTTTTAATGTTATTATAGTTTTCTTATAATAGTTATCTGTGCTTTTTTTTTTTACTTTTATGTATGCACCACGACACCTAGTCAAATTCCTCGTACATGTCAACCTACCTGGTAATAAACCAGTTTCTGATTCTGATGGTGTGTTACAGCTTGGTGCAGTTACACTTCACTAAATAAACACAGTGACTTATTCAGTCCATTCACAACTAAACTGTTGCTCATGCCACAGAAAGGGATGGTGGTGGTGCTGCTGTGCCCTTCTTCACACACCTACACAAACACATTGCACTATCTTACACACTCATTTGCAATCCCCTCCACCTCCCCTCCTCTTCTGCCTTCAACATCAGAGGACTGCATTCAGGGATGTTTCTGAAAGGAAAACCCTTTGCCTCCTTCCCTCCCTCCTCACCAGCATCACCTGCTCCTCCCCCGTCCCCCCTCCACCCACACATTTCCCTCCTCTCCCTCACCAGATTTCCTTTTAACTCCAGGCGTTGTTCGAATGTGCGAGAGCTGTCGATGACTCACCGGGTTCCTCTCTGCTCACGATTAAGCGGCCATTGTATTTCTCACTTATTATGGTCGGCGAAAGACAATGTGATGCCAAAGGCTGATAAGTGTGAAATAATGTTAACAGAGCAGAACTAAGCTGTGTGTTAGACAGCCATAAAGCTAAAAAAAAGTGTTTTACTACTAGTGTTGCTTTGTATATTGGAGGGAAATAGTGCCAAGACAAGTACTAGTGTTTATTTTGGTACATGATTCATAAAATAGGAGCAGCTCATGTTCATTATAAGAACAATGATGGCAATTACATCAGTTATCTGGAGTCTGGGTCTTTGGATATATTTGGTGAGAGGCAATGGATTTTTCATACTCAAATCAAATCAAGGAGAAGAACACTGTTAAAGTGTTTGCTGCTGAGTGAGTCATCGAGGAAATGAGGGGGACAGTGAAAATTAAGACAAGAAGATGTGAAGACAGTGAGGCAGACACAGATCGGGCTGTCACAAATTAATGGGCTGCTACAAAAAAGAAAAGTGGAAAAAGTAAAGAGAAAAAGAACCGGAGAAAACCCTAGAAAGCTGATTATGCAGCATCTCCTGCCCACACAGTCTGCCCACGCTCCCTCTCTCCAACGCCTCCTCTTCCTCCTCTCCTCGTTTAGGATTCTGCTCCATCCATTCCTCCGTCCCTTTTCCCTTCTCAGCTGCGTCATCCAGCTTTTTCATTGTGTTGCGCTCCCATTCTCCTCCTCCTCCCACCTCTCAGGGGACGGAGCAGAACTCTCCACTGCCTAGCTTTGTTATTACATTCAGGATGAAGCTTTTGGGCTATTAGCTTCAGCAGCTACACTCCATGATGGTTTGAAGGACAAACGCACACCCACACACATGCAGACCATATTCTGTACCACTTTACAATAAGACTATCCTTATAAAGGGTTTACGAATAGTTTGTAATTCATTTATTAATTAGGTTGTGAATACTTTATAAATCATTAATAAGCTTTTATAAAACATGAGATAAACAGGGCAACTGTGACCGGTTGCTTGCCAAATAGTGAGCCCACATGTATCTGTACTGCTAAGCCTTATATTGGCTAGCTTAGTCATCTTGCCAAATAGTGAACCTGTGTTGATGTCTATGTTAGAACTGGTTTATAAATGGTTCTTAATGATTAATAAAGTGTTTACAACCTAATTCATAACCTAATTATAAACCCTTTATGAATCCTTTATAAGGGTAGTCTTATTGTAAAGTGGTACCCAAATATTCCACACACTGGAGAGTTATAAGCCACCTTTAACTGTAGTTATGTGTCATTAAAAGCTTGGTAAAATGCTTTAAAGAGAAGGGATTCAGTTGTATCTTTGTGTTAAATGTACTGAATGAATATAAATATATAAAGCTGACTACAGAAACAATATTTATTACGTAAAAAGTAGACTTTAGGTTAATCGGTATGACTTTTGTTGTTGGTGGTTTCCTTTCCTGCCATGTGTGGTTACTGTGTTTACAGCTGGAAACTGTCATCCAAATATTTGTCTGATCCTGCAGATAAAGAGTTTCTCCGGTTTACCAGTCTCACACACACACACACACACACACACACACACACACACACACACACACACACACACACACACACACACACACACACACACACACACACACACACACACACACACAATAATGGGTATTGACAATTACGGGAAAGTATAAAGCGGTGACAATAACAAGTCAAACAAACATGGACTCAACATGTGACAGCCACACAAAGCAACCAACATATCCTTGCATGTGTGTGTGACTATCAAAGTGTACACATGCATCTCCCACGCATCACACACACACTCTTCACTACACTCACACCTTCCACACTTGTGCCCACACATACACATATACTACTTCATGCAGTTAGGTTATAAGAAGGTCTCTCCACGCACGCACGCACAATCCTGAGTGCTCCTGTCATCCTTAACACAACCTGGGGAGAGACGTGTGTCAGTGCTGAGGTGAAAAAAGGGGATGAGAGTGACTCACTGCACCTTGGGACAGGC